ATTCTGTATAAGAAGTATTCTGAACACTCCATATATTTACTAAAACTAATTATAATAGGTAAACATATGGAATAGAAAGCTGAACCTTCGAAATATATTCTTTATTTCATTGTTTCAAACCAAAGAAATCTTTGAATCTAACTCGGAACAGTGATATGGAAATTTTGAAGGCCGCTGGTAGAATGACCAAAAAATTAAAGATCTATTGAATTATGGTATATTTTTGTTAAAGTTATATTTGAAAGGCTCAGCGTAGTTGGAAGGATATTTTTGGAATTGACTAACAAGAGCAAACATTTCATACATTTCACAAAAAATCTAATATTTTGGTCCGCAGGTTTCCATCAAGTGAATATAGAGGGCAAGATAGGTTATAAATACACAGTAACACACTAGCTAAATGATTTTAGAGAATAAGAGTTCTACGGTTTATTTCTTGTATTCATATTGATATTTCAATTATATTCAGTAGGTCTATTTCCAAATTCCACATCGGAACATTTACAGTTCATTGTGACAAATCACCCTGTATAGTTTCTGTAGTTCTGATGAAATACCTAACAAATTCAGCTACCACTTATGTTTTTATAATGAGAGTGTATTTACAAAAGTCGGTGATACTTTAACTATTTCTTATTTATTCCTATCATATGATCAAAGGTATGTTCTGAATTGAAATACCTTCTAGTCATTCCATGAGATCTTCAGAAAGCATTGGTATATAATTATAGTACAATTGATTATGATTTATAAAGCAGCCCTACCATGGTCGCAATAAAAACACTCTTTTTTCGAATTTTCAGCAGGCAGAGAGAATTGACGGATACATCAGTCCTTTCTCTTGCACGCTTCTCATAGTTTCTAACTAATTAGGATTTATCCAATAATAATCTAAGTGCCGAATGGGGAAAAATGTGCCCTAGTAGAGTCATTCTGAAAACTACCATAACAAAACATTCACGACATAAAAATGTAGGTAAGCAAAGTAGTCTATGTATCAAATTAGACCTGTAGCGATCGTTGCAAAATTTACCGTCTTTTAATTAGTGGCATTGTGAGACGTGAAAAATCTTCAAATACAAGACATGTTTGTAAATATCTAGCAAATTTTCTAATACGAGTTTGTTTTGTAATTTTTGTTGGCCCATGAAAACATTGACGAATATGGCTGATCCTGATAAATGAAGTTAATTGCTACATGAACGACTTGTCTCGTGATCAATCAAATCAGTAGATATTTGAAGTAAAAAAACTTGCTCTTGTATTCATTTTGCGCATTCCAAAAATCCCCTAGATTCCATAAAATTAATTTTATCTAACTGTAGCAGAGTTATAGCATGACACATGCTGTCCCATGCATAACCTCTGAAATGAACATAGGGGTACCCGCCCCTAGTCCTCCGTCTGTTTTTTCTTGTTCGTTCTTCTCATACTCGCAGTCGAAGTAGTGACTTTGGCAGTCAAAACACCTAAAATAAAGAAATTGCAATTTGGATAATATAACTGAACTAAGTATCCCCCAAAAATCATTTAATTTTCTCAAATATATTCATAGAGTGAGTCTATTCGACAGCCCTATCAGGCTAGCAAGGTAAATCCAGCAAAATTGCAAAAAAAATACATCAATTTGTAGCTAATTAGTTGCTAATTAGTTACCAAAACAACGATTTTGTTGCTCGTGCCTATCCTTAGAAATCGCAAATAATGCTATCGTGATATCAAGGTAGCAAGGTAACTCAATAAATTATATACTTTCCCTTTGATCTTTACAGAATATTTAGTTGCAGTGGCAAACC